CCAAAATGTGGTGGGATTGTTATTTATTGTTAACAAGTTACCACAAAACGAACTCTACTTAACGATCACAATAAAAAATAAAGTTAACTCTTTTTAAAGCAAACAAAAACACAAGATCCATACATTTTTGAACCACAAACAGATGTATCTGAAACGATTACAATATATACTGCTGTATGTGTATTTAAAACTACACTGATCATCATATATACTCGTATACAAGATAATTTGAAATTTTAAATTCAGAAATGTTGTACAATTTTCAATGTGAAAACTCTAAATAAAATTAAAAAAAAAAAAAATAAAAACATATTTCACAATTTTTTATTTCGCTTGGGATAAGAAATTTGGTAAAGAGGTTCGAAGTCAAACAAATGTAAAAACCTTTCTCTTAGTATATATTTCAAAAAGTGTCAATTCAAAGATACAAAAACATAATCGGAATCTTAATATTACTAGCCGAAATTTTCAACCTAATTGTCTGTAATTTGGTACTTCGTATTTTTCAAATGATAAAGACCTCCTAAAAGACAATTCACAAAGTGTTTTATTAGAGCCTCCGTATGAGACCCTTATACGGAGGTACGATTTTAGATACTTTTTTACTTGTTGTTTTATAAGATTTACGACCTAGAAGTTATTTAATGTTTTTTTGTTTATTTTAAATTCTTTTTTTTTTAACTCACCAAATATTCCTCCATAATTGAGTAACCTGAAGACTAAAAGAAACCCTAAAACGGCATATGCATTAGAACTTTTTACCGGGTTAACCTACTTTATGAGGATTTATTTGACATATATGCAAAGGAATTGACCATTGAAACCCACTGGGTTAACGAAATCCGGTTAAATGTAAACGTACTATAAGCCTAATATTTCCAACAATTTTAAAAATAATTAAACTTTCAAAACCTTTATATACACGTTTTCTATTTTTTAGACTGGTTTTCTGTAATTATAAAAAAAATATTGTTGTTGCACAGTGTAATTTAAAAAAAATATGAAATGTATTTTTGTACTTTGAATTCTACTTTTTTGTCAATTATTAATTTTTTTTTTTGTGTTTTAAGTTATTAATTATTAAATTTATTGCTACGCATCAGAATTAATCAATGCTGCTTTCTTTCATACCAGTCTTGTACCAAATTGCTCTAGCTGCGCCTAAGACACCAACTTGATACCGGCATGGTCATTGTATTAACAGAAAAAAATCCCCTTTTTGCAATGCAGGGCAGCTTGTACATATAAGATGTAAACAAACTTGGAGACACTTTGCAAATATGTATCGCCTTCATTGACAGGGGAATTCTTTTTGTTCCAGATTAGCTTTGTTTATTTCTTTCATTTAATAAAATAATAATAACAATAGCTCAGCCAACGGCACGACGTCTTACATTATCGCACTTTGCCTACAGCGAGTGGATGATTGTAAAATATTAAAATCCAAGTTCTCTGAATGATTCATTTTGGATAAAGCTATTGTTCGCACAAAGTAGGGATGTCCGAGAAGAACAATTTTTTAGGGAATTAAGGTGCATAATTTTTAAACTAAATTGGATAGTAATAAGAAAATAGTCGTTAAATTCGTGTGGGTCAAACATCCACCATGAAGTGCACAATAAAAATACCTCAAATCGATCGTACATTTGTAAATCGACTCCAAATTGTATGAAACGGATTTGGTGCAAATAAACATGGGGTCTATCAAAGTGTACGAGTGCAGTTCGGAAAGTTCTTAGCTAACACAAAAAGCGCGGAATAAACAGAAAAAAAGTTAAGTGTTTTGGAAACTTTCATCTCTGTTATGAACACATGTTATTGGCGCAGTCCTTCTAGTACCGCCCCCACAAAATTGTCAACATTTTTAAAATTTGGTAATCTAATAACAATCGTATGGAATGTCCCATTTGATAAAAAAATATGCACATCGTAATATTTTTGCCTATTCTGATCAAGTCCGAGGATGGGTCCCACCAGAACAATCCTTCTGGTACCTACCCCAGACAAATTTAATTCAGTAAGAAAACAGATCAACAAATCATAACATACCTATAACAAGAGCAAATTAGTTGATACTGCCTTACATGAGGTGGGCAATCTCAGCTTCAGCTCTGCTGCGTTCCGTGATATTGAAGGATTCTTGAACAATGTGAAGCGGGACTCCACATTTGTGACTTCTGGTGATAAATGAGATTCTGGAAAATTTCGATGAAATTCGGTTATAGCATATGCCATTGCTTATGTTGTTTTGTTGATCAGTGAATAATAGTACTGAATCTGAATATCTACTATTTGTTTTTGTATCCAATTTTTTGCTTGGATAACTTTGAGGGCGTTCTATTAAAAAAATACCCTTCCCTGGCGCAAAACAATTTCGTAATAACAAAAATTCGTTTATTATGAACAAAATATTATTATTAGCTTGTTTTCGTTGGTGTTCAATACGCATTGCAAGGGTTTTTGTCAGGCCAATTATTTTTTACAATGGTAATCAAGCACACTTGTGCATATCAGACAATTTGTGGGATATTGGGCATATGTTAACTGCGTTTCCAAAATTCTGCTGTAGATGATTGTGTTTGTGAGTGTGTCCCACGCAATTTCTTTTGATTATTTTCGGCATAGTAGATTTAGCCTAATACTCGTCGTATTAATATCATCATTAGCGTTTTAACGGCAAGTATATGCAGACTTCACTTCAATACTGACTAAAAAAGAAAGTAAATTTTAAATTTATTTGAAAAAAAGCGCGCAATTACAATCAAAAATCCCATAAAATCTCCTAGTTTTGAAATTGTCATACCCATTACAAATGACTCAAGTCACAAATGAAGAAATTAACTGCCTGACTGATTAACAAGTAAAAAAATACTGGCGCACATAAACAAAAACAAATAAAAAAATAACAAAATTGAGCGGCCGATCTACGTAGCTATTGAAAGTGTTAGTTATTCGCTGACCACAAATCATGAATGACGACCATAAAAATCTAAAAATGGATATTATCGAAGATGATCGCAGTGTCCTAATCGATGAGCAGCAAACAAAATCTAGCAATCCGAATAGCAGTCTAGACGTTATAACGCCAACAAACGCCGGTCCGAATTGTAATGAAAATTCGATGATGGGTCTATCAATGTGGCAAAAAACTCGTTATTATTTAGTGGAGCCGGCGGTATTAATTTTAGTCTTTGCCTATAATTTATCGGGTGTGTAAATGGAAATGTCTGTGATACAAAATAGATCGAATAATTTTTGTTACCGTTATCGTTACAGCAACGGTGTGGAAAAATCAAATTATCTATCAGACATGCACCACAATATTTCATCACAATACAACGGATTGTAAAAAATTATCAACAAAAGATGCTAGCGATTATATAAAGGTAATATTGTTCGAAATAAAAAATAAATCTGCAGTGAAACGTGAAATTATTTTTAAAGCAAACAAAAACGTATTTAAATTCTTCCTAGCCAAAATTTGTAAAAACTTCCCCAGTGAGGTGTGCATTCAATATACCTCGAATCCGTCGGGACCTTTATATGAGACGTATGTGTGACATTCTAAATTCGGTTGAATAATGCGCATAGGGTCAAGAAAATACCTGAAATGGGGCTAAACCTTTACATGGTATAATTTCATTACCATAAACCTGTATTGAAAATATTCTGCGAACATTCGTATTCTCCGAAATTACGTATACAACGATAATTGTTGTGGTTAACATTTTATGAGGTGGAATGTGATGGGGGGAAATCTCTTGTTTAAGTGGTTCTACAGGTTTTATAATTAAATTAGAATTAAAACAAGTGAAACAGTTCTAAAAACACGCGTCTTTTTCAGAAAATTCTCAAAATAATGAATAGTGGGATAACCCTTATATGGGGGCTATATCAAGACGGGGGACCGATATTTACAATTTTGAAGTCGATTTACAAATATCCGCCCGTCTGTGTGTCTGGCTGGTGCGCACGATTTCATACAAACTTTGCACATCGTAATATTTGTTTAAATTGAAATCAAGCTCCACTCCTTCTGGTACCTCCCACACAAAATGGTCAAAATTATAATATCATGCGAAAGGGTAATCCGATTTCAACCAAATTTTGCACAACCTAATATTTTTACCAAGCTGTTATATTTTGGAAAATTGGACTTATTGGCGCCTTCTATTATTTATTTTAGTTTTAAATGAAGTTCGTTCCACTCCTTATGGTACCTGTCATACAATGTAATATTAATATGAATACTTTATAAACCTAATCTTGAAACTCAATTTCTTTTTAATATTCAAAAAAATTTTTATTTAAATATATTTGTTATGTCACCAGAAACTCGAACATTTTACTGTTCATATGATACCAATTTTATTTAAATATCTGCAATATGTCAAAAGTTATAGGAAAAACAAATTAGGTTTATATTTTGCATATCGATTTTTGAATCAACCCATTCAATAGATGGCGCTGACGACAAGTTTTTTTGCTGCCAATGGCACAGATATAATTCGAATTGATATTAATAGTTTAGAACGTACACTATGCGACAGAATTAAAGATTGTTTAACAGAATTGCTTTGTTAATAGAAAACTACAGATTTTTTGGGATTCTTTACAACGTTTAAACGCGTTACGATACAGAGACAATCAAACGGATATTTTTAGCTTAGAATATCGTTCAAGAGGGATTAACATATAGGCGTTTATGTTGCCATGGTAAAAGAAAAAAACTATTCCATAAAAATTAATTTCATATGCAGCAATATGAATTTTTTAGGTTTTTTGCTGTACCTTTCATATGACACCACTTTTTTTAAATATTTGTAATACGAAAAAGTTTTGAGGTATGCATATTTTAAGATAGCGTCGTCAGCGCCATCTATTATGGTATGATTTAAATCAGATTCTTTCATAAGTGGTATATTGGATTTTTTTGTACCCGCCATGGAATGCCAAATAACATTCACTTCATTTTGAAAATACGTCTAATACCACAGTATGGTGTCTATGTTAAAATATGACCAAACTTTTATTTAACTTTTTATTTTAAAATTTTGTATGTTATTTGTTTGTAGTCCATAGAAACGGAAGTCCAGTCCTATACGGTGGTATTCTTTATGACAAACTCTTTGATACAAAGTATAGTACCGGCACTTTGCGGGACATTTGTTGGAGCTTGGTCGGATCGATTTGGTCGTAAACCTCTACTGATAGCATCATTTACAGGTATGTGTGCATATATATAAAGGTTGCTATTTATATTTTGTGGTTCAATATTTGAAAATTCGGTAAAGGTTAATTAAATCTATCAACTTCGGAATTTTTGAAATTATTCTTGAATACAGGTTTTACAATATAAATAGCAACACTGACGTATATTAATATTAATTTAAAACTATATTTATTTTCATATTTCTTTAAGGTTATTTTCTTTTCTATGCCCTAACCTGTCTCATCAGTCATTTATCCGATTCGTATGCCGTTGATCCATGGTTTTATATATTACCCTCTATACCGCTATCGTTATTGGGTGATGGTGTTACATATTCCGTGGCTGCCTTTTGTTATATCTCAGATGTTTCAACAGCCAAAGAAAGGCCATATCGGTAAATATTAACAAATGAAAAATGTGTGATGTTTGATAAGTCAATTATTTAAAATTGTTTACATAAATTAATATTTATAGCTTTACGTTGAACAAATAGGGATAGGAATACAATTGATTTACAAGATATTTTTTGAGAAGTTGTAATGTACTTACTTTCATACAACAAGTTTTTAGATACTGGGCAATAAAGGAGAAATTCAACACCATTAGACACTCGGGATGCAAAATTTTATTTGGACTTTCAATATTCCGAAAAGAATCAGGACCTTTATTTCTTCTATATTATTAAATAAGTTTTTTTAACGACCAATATTCTGAAATATTATATTACTGTCAGTTTGGCTGGAAAATGCGCCTTGGACCTTCAAAATACTTGAAATTGTAGCTATAAAGCTTATATAAAAAATTAACCTATATTGAAAATATTCTTCCAGAACCACGGAACTCTATCCATCTTCACTGCATCTAAAACCTTCTATGAGAAGTAGCCTGCATACGTAAGCAATAAAAAGATGTGGTCCTGTATTGAAAACTTTCGACATAGATATTTTCCACCCTCCAAAAACCCAGAATGCTAATTTTTAAAATGTTAAAATAATTTGTTAAAATATCGGACAGTTGGCATTGAAAATACATAAAGTGACATAAGATGAAGACTAATAAGTATCTGGTTGAATAATGCTCCTAGAACATTTAATACATGTAAAGTGTACTGGATCACTATGTTCGGACTATGTCAAAATATGGACCCCTTTTCTAATTTCTGTAAAGAAGTTGTTTATATATGTCTATAGCTAAAAGCCACATTGGTAAAAAATGCTCCTACAACCTCTAATATACGTAAAGTGAAACATTAGGGCTATGTAAAAATATGGGTATATCTTGAAATTTTTCTGCGAAAAAGTTGTTTACCTATATATAAAGATGGACCTATATTCAAAATGAATTATCTCTCCGTTAACATATAAAATATTTGTCTTTCTTTCTTACCTTTTCAGAATGAATTTATATGAAGCTGTTATCTATATTGGCCTAATGTCGGGATCCTTTGTATCAGGATATATTTACAATGCTTACGAATCGGCTACACTAATATTTTTCATATCCTCAATGTGTATTCTATGGGCAACACTGATAGTTATATTTCTAATACCGGAAAGTTTAAATATGCGACAGATCTCATCAGCAACAAATGCGGTACATAAATTTGAAAATCCCCAGCATAAAAACGATACTGAAAATTCTCAAGCTACAACATCGGCAAATATTTCTTCTACACAATCAGAAAATAATAAGGATACCCAGGGTCAAACTGAAGTTGAGGAAAATCGCCAACATTCCAGAAATCGTCTGAGAAAATTATTTGACATTGATCATTTGAAGGCAATGTATTTAACCTGTTTTAAGGCAAGAGAGTTTGAAACACGTTCGGTTATTTTGTTGATTGTGGCATGTTTGTGGACGTGTGCCTTTGTCGTGGGTAAGTACGTGCGCCAGCCAGCAATTAATTTGCAAATCTGGCTGTGTCGGTAAATGACATTCGAAATTATGTAAATTTTCTTCGATTTGTTTTCATTATTACAAAATAATCGTTCATCATTCGCAACAACAACAACAAAAGAGGGATCGTCGACCGTATTTTATTTATTTGTGCGTGAGAAATTCCAATGGACCGTTAAAGATTTTACCACATACGAAACGATAAGTATTTTGATACCAATATTGGGTAATGTTTTGGGCGTTTGGCTGTTAAGGAGGGTAAGTGCAAAAGAAACGTTAGTTGAATATTAAATAAATTCTCGAAAAGAAACTGCCACAGGTGGATGCTACTTGTGAGTGTGTGTTCAAGAAAAGTCCCCGCTTGTTTGACCATGTAATTGTAAGAAATGTTTTTAATTTGTTTCGTTTTATATTCAAGGTTTTCAAAATGCAAATCCTCACAGTGGCCATCTACGCCTTGTTGTCCCAAGCCTCTAGCAGTTTAATGAAAGGTTTTGCTGCCGTCAATTGGCAATTGTATTTAGCCATTGCCTTGGGTATTCTCAAATCGGTGGTCAATCCAATGCTGAGAACAATTTTAACCAATTTACTACCACCCAATGAATTGGGTGAGTTTCAATATTGATTATTGTTGGTTGATTAATTGTAATTGTTTTGATTTGCTTTTAGGAAAAATCTTTTCATTTATTAGTGCCATTCAGGCCTTTATGCCATTTGTGGCATCCCCATTGTATACGATTATTTATCGTTCAACACTCACCTCATTTCCGGGACTATTTAATATAATAAATGCAAATCTATTTATTGTGGCCATTGGTTTTATACTGTAAGTATGGGTATATGTAAATGTGTGCCTTTATAAAAATAAAAAAAATCATGAGTTGAAATATTGATCATAATCGAGAAAACAATTATTAAAATATGACAAAAATAAAAAATTTACTATATAATTTGAAAATTAGAATTAGATTCTTTAAATTATTTGATTATTTCAATCCTAAATTTCCTAATGAAATTTTATCATTTGTTATCTAAAATAAACAATTTTATTTATTTATTTTTTTTAATTCCAAATTATCAATTATTTAAGCACTATTTTTTCTCTCCTTTAACCATTTCATTACAGAGTTATTTTGCGTAAAAAACAAAAATACCCGGAACATTACACAGCGATTTTGAATTGACACATTCGTACCTAGCGCCAAAAATGCATGTTGTTTACAAAAACAACTCCAATTGATTGAAATTTCAAATTATTTATTTAAATTGTAATAAAGAGTAATGAATAAAATAAACAAAGTCATTTTTATATACATTATAAAAAAGTAAATATAAAAACAATTTATAATTGATTTTAATTAACCATCAAATTGTCAAATCTTTGATATTGTTAGGTAATAGCTAGAGAGAGATTTGTGATGGAGATAATATCCCACATGGAAAAAGAGAAAAAGTTTCACAAGAGAAGAAGTTTTTACTTCGATAACAATTTTTCCTTTATGATATCGTCTATAAAGACTCCATTCAGCTCGTCTATAAAGACTCCCTTCAGCCCGTCTATAAAGACACCCTTCAGCTCGTCTATAAAGACTCCCTTCAGCTCGTCTATAAAGACTCCCTTCAGCTCGTCTATAACCTTCAGCTCGTCTATAAAGACTCCCTTCAGCTCGTCTATAAAGACTCCCTTCAGCTCGTCTATAAAGACTCCCTTCAGCTCGTCTATAAAGACTCCCTTCAGCTCGTCTATAAAGACTCCCTTCAGCTCGTCTATAAAGACTCCCTTTAGCTCGTCTATAAAGACTCCCTTAAGCTCGTCTATAAAGACTCCCTTTAGCTCGTCTATAAAGACTCCCTTTAGCTCGTCTATAAAGACTCCCTTTAGCTCGTCTATAAAGACTCCCTTTAGCTCGTCTATAAAGACTCCCTTTAGCTCGTCTATAAAGACTCCCTTTAGCTCGTCTATAAAGACTCCCTTTAGCTCGTCTATAAAGACTCGCTTTAGCTCGTCTATAAAGACTCCCTTTAGCTCGTCTATAAAGACTCCCTTCAGTTAGTCTATAAAGACTCCCTTCAGTTAGTCTATAAAGACTCCCTTCAGTTAGTCTATAAAGACTCCCTTCAGTTAGTCTATAAAGACTCCCTTCAGTTCGTCTATAAAGACTCCCTTCAGTTCGTCTATAAAGACACCCTTCAGCTGGTCTTTGAAATCTCTATAAAAACTCCCTGCAGCTCGTCTATAAAACTCCCTTCAGCTATAAAGACTTCATTCGTCTCGTCTATAAAGACTCCCTTCTGCTTGTCTATAAAGACACCCTTCAGCTGGTCTTTAAAATCTCCATTCAGATCTATAAAAGCTTCGTCTATAAAAATCCCTTCTCATCTCCTAAAAAACTGCCATCATCTCGCCTAAGAGACTTCCTTCAGATCTTCTAAAAACTTCCTTCAGGTTGTCTAAAAAACTCCGTCAGCTCGCCTAAAATCCTCCCTAAGGATTCCTTTCAGCTCGTCTATAAAGACTCCCTTCAACTCGTCTAAAAAAACTCAGACTCAGCTCGGCTATAAAGATTCCATTCAGCTCCTCTACAAAAACTCCCTTCAGATCATCTAAAAAACTGTCTTCAGCTCGCCTAAAAGACTCCCTAAGTACTCCTTTTTGCTCTTCTATAAAGACTCCTTTCAGCCCATCTTAAAGACTCCCTTCAGCTCCTCTCTAAAGATTCCCTTCAATTGGTCCATAAAAATTACATATCAGCTCGTCTATAAAGACTGCCTGCAGCTTGTCTATAAAAACTCCCTTTCAGCTTGTCTATAAAGACTCACTTCAGTTCGTTTTTAGAAACTCCATTAATCTTGCCTATGGAGACTCCCTGCTTCAGCTCTCTTCTATAAATGCTTTTGTCATGAAGGAAAAATTCCCCAATCATAGCTATGCCATGTTTATAGTATTTTAATTTATTGTATGATAAAGGGATTTTTTCCGCATTGTCACCTGATTTGTATTGAAAAATTGAAAACAAAATTATAACAAAGTTAATTACCATTGAAAGTGTTGCTCTCTCACTTAAATGAAAATGTGCAAAAACAACATTAACTAATTTTAATTATTTATTTAATTACAGAATTGACGTACGAACAATATTGTGTCATCGTCATAGTTTTTATGTACAAAATTATTTGTGTTTTTAATGTTATTGTAAACGAAAAAATGTTTAAATTAAATGTTTGTATTAAAAATCGTTGATTTGAAATTTAAAATTTTAAAAAATAAAAAAAAAATAATTTTAAAATAATAATTAGAAAAAATTACAGTCATCCCCTCGTCTTAAATTTGTTTTGAAGATTTAAAAATCAATAATTCAATAAAATTTAAGTTCCGGACTTATTTGTCATTATAATATGTTAAACACCTCCCAGTATTGAATTAGCAAACATTTTTTTGCATAAATTTTTCAAACAATATTTTTTTTTTTTCAATTGCAAATCGTGTATGACAAGGTCACGATTTTTTGTGTTGTTTTTTTTTCAGAATTTTGGAAACTCCATAAAAAATCAAAGATTTCACGGAATCGAATTCCCCTTTAAATAAAACGTTTACTAAAATTAGCAAATGTCTGTACACGTGAGCATGACACCACAACATTTAACTTCCGATTGCAATAAATGTGGACGATATTGTTTGTGATTGTTTATTTAGACCAACCCCTGATTTGCATATCAAAATGGCCCAAAGATAATGCGTGACTTATTTTTATTTCAATACTAACCAAGTTAAACAAAAATAAAACAATAAACAAGCAAAGGCACACAAAACCGCAGCGCCATTGTCTGTGTGCAAAAATGAAATCTTCCATCCGAAATAGACAAAATATAACAACAAAAACAAATAAGTGCGAAGTACGATTTATGTTTGTTATATGTGCTATGACGCTTTAGGCCAGCGCGGACCATGTTGGGTGGTAGTTCCCCCCAGCGAATAAGCCGGCTTAAAACCAAAAAAAGCAAACAAAAATTTGATAATAAGAAAAAAATAAAGTTGTGAATTGATTTCCAATAAAGATATTCACAAAATAGCCTCAGTTGAGTTTGAGACGGGTTTAAGGCAACAAGTTGGCAGTATGTTCGGTAGTTCAGTAGTTTGGTGTTAAGAAAAAGAGCAAATCTTGTTTTGTGATTTTTTTGGCGATGCTGATTTGATTTTGTGAAGAAAAAAAGTAAAAATAAATAACTTTCTAATTGTGACACAAAACAAATATGAACCTTTTTTATAAATATATACAAAAAAGTAATAATCAATTAAATGCATAACCACAATACAAAAGGTTGCAATATTACACTGTGCTACAAAGAAAACTATAAAATTGACATAGAAAATAGAAAAGAGGGAGAGAAAAAAGGACATAAAGTCCTGATAGTTTTGCTCACGGGGTCATTTTACGCGAACTGTAATATAGGAAGTCTTTATGGTATAGATGAAGACAATAGGGCCTATATAGACGAGCTGGAATCAAGAAAGGCTTAAAATGTAAGCGAAGACTGAGAGAATCTTTATACGCAAGTCGAAGCTCATAGCCGAAGGGAGTCTTTCTAGATGTGCTGAAGGGAGTTTTTATAGGCGGGGGAGTCTTTTTATGCGAGCTGAAGTAGGCGTTGTAGACGAGCTGAAGGGAGTCTTTATAGGCAAGCTGAAGGGAGTCTTTAAAGACGAGCTGATGGGGGTCTTTAGATAACGATCTGATGGGAGTCTTTAGAAGATGAGCTGATGGGAGTCTTTAGAAGACGAGCTGAAGAGAAGCTTTATAGACTATCATTTTGAAGTCAGAATGGATTTATTTATAGATAGACAGAAGAGAGTTTTTCTAGGCGAACTCAAGGGGGCTTTGTATAGGAAATGAAACTGCTCTTTATAGATGAGCTAAATGGAGTCATTGTATAAGGCCTTAAGGCCCCTTATAGTCGGAAGATTTACCAATTTTTTGCGATGCACAGTGTAATTTAATTTTATTTTTATCCATTGGTTATAATCAATTTAAAAAAGAAGAAGAAAAAATACCACCTAATCATAATAATATTTTGTTGTTATAACAACGATTTTCTATAAAAATAAAAATCACAGATTCATCTCCCTATGTTAGCTGAAATCTCATTTAAATGCACGGTACCCACAACTCTGTCACACTAGTACGAGTTTAACTCTAGCTCAGAATCAAACCACATACACGCGGTACATAGTACAAAAATGTACACATGCGATCATTTATAATTATTGATAACTACAAAGAAGCGCAACAAATGATACAAAATTAACAAAAAAGAAAACAAAAAACAATAACATAACGTTAACAACAAAATACCAGAAAAAATAACCAAGCAAAAAAAACTTATGAGAATTTAAATTATCAGGGAGTTAACCGCTACCTCACACTGAAACCGATCAACAGTTTAAACGTGGACTCTCAACGGGTAGCTTGTCATGACGAAAGTTTTTGACCGTTAACAAGATTTTGTGAAAAAGTATTTTTTTGGAAATCAGTTAGTGTGACAATGTTTCATTAACAAGAAAAAAATTAAAAAACAAAAACAACAAATAATTAAAAAAAAATAAAAGAAATAAAAATAATTACCTGCAACAAATAACAACAACAAAAAAAAACAAATAAATATCCCCAATCAAAATGGTCGAATCATCTATTACATTGGCTTTTTCACGGCTCAAACAATTGGATTGGCAAAAATGTTTCCATATGTTTCACGTGGAGCCCATTGTTTTCCTGTTGGTCTTCTCACACAGTCTCTCAGGTAAGAATTTCGATAAGATTATACAGATGAAATGTAAAAATAAAAATATTACATTTGTAGATAATTATAAAAAATGGTATTTTCTCTTGGGCAAACAAATATATAAAACAAGCAAACACAAGCATGTCTAGCAGCCAAGGGGCTTAAGTCCCATTTGAAATTATTAATCAAATTGGTAATTGAATAATTAATAAAATACATATTCATAAGACCTTCGGGGTTATTTCCAAAATAAATAAATTTCTAAATGTAATCAATCACCAGGATGTTGTGATTAAATATTGGAGAGTGATTTCGGATAATATTGCGACGGTTTTTATGAACTATGAAAAATCCGGTTTTTATGAACTATGAAAAATAGCACAATACTAGAATTAATTAAGTAGTTAAAGAATTAATTAAGTAGTTAAAATTAATTTTAAATTAGAGTTTATAGATGAAATTAATTAATTTAGGATTAATAGACTGGAAAACGTGCCAAAAAGAAAGCTTTGTAGGCGGGTTTATGAACGATGTTAGGGTAGTCTTTATACCCGAGCTAAAGATTGTCTTTATAGACAGGCGTTAAAGATTCTTTATGGTGGATCTGAACGGCGTACTTATAGGCAAGCTAAAAAAATCATTTTAGATGACCTAATAAGGGCAGCTGAAGAGAGTTTTATTTATTTATTATTATTATTTTTTGACAAACTGATGATAGTTTTTAAAGAGGGCCTTATGAAATTTTATGCAGACAATGTGAAAGGAGTCTTTATAGGACGTCTTTAAAGACGAGCTGAAGGCAAATTTCATACTTGCTTTACTTAACTGGCTTATTACAGAAAGGTTGTTCCATAAGCCGAGCTTAAAAAAGATTTCCAAGCGTGTCGGTCTTGTGCGCATCTCCTGCAATTTGAAAGACCACGATGTTGTCTTCTACTTCCAAGATGTTGTCTTCTACTTGGTCTCTCCAATAGACAATCTAAATATAGTCTTTATAGACGTGATGAAGGAAAGTCAATGACAATATTTATAGTCTATCTAAAACGAGTCTTTATAACCAAGTAAAAATATTTATAGTTGTGCGGAAGGGAGCCTTTATATACGAGCTGAAGGACGTATTTCTATCGACGAGCTGAAGGGAGTCATTATAGCCGAGCTGAAGGAGTCTTCATAAATTAGCTTAAATGATTATTTATAGTCCTGTTGAAGGAAGTCTGGTTTTAGGCTGGAGGGAATCTTTATAGATAAGCGAGTCTTTAAAGATGATCTGAAGATGGTCTTTATGGAAAAACTAAAGAAAGCCGTAATAGAGCTGAAAATTCAGTTTTAAAGGCATACTAAATGGATTTGAAGGTAGTATGTATAGATGAACTGAATGGAGACTTTATACACCACATAAGAGAATCTTTAGATACAAGCTGGCTGTAGTATTTTTGAGATCGAGCTGTCGTTATATTTGAAGGGGTCTTTCGTTCTGTGCGAAGCTTAAAGAAATTCTTAAATGATAGGAGGGAAATTTGAAGCACACATTTTTACAGGTGTACTTAGAGGACTAAAGGGGGTCGGAAGGATGTTTTCTAAATCGAGACTTAATCAGAAGGAAGATTTATTGGTGATAACCAAACGGGAGACCAGGCGGTCTATTAAGATCTCATTAAAGGATTAATAATAATTTATGAACGAAATTTTAGATTAAATCAGTATGAAATGCAAGAGCTTTCATAGATGAAAGGTATAATATTCACGTTCTGGTAAATGTGAACATTTTGAAAAAAATAAATAAATAAAAAATATCCAGGGTTTACAAAATAATATTAAAAAAGTACACCCTTTGAAGGATTTAGAAAATAATATTTAAAAAATCCACACTTTAAAGGATTTAAAAAATACTATTTAAAATACGCTCGCCTATTGAAGGATTTAAAAAAATTATTCTTAAAAATATCCACGCCTTTTTAAGGATTTAGTTGAAATCTATTGAAGGATTTGGAAAATTATTGTTAAAAAATCCACGCCTATAGATGGCCAAAGAAACTATTTTTTTAATCTACGTCTAAAGAAGGTCTTAGAATTTTTTTAAAGAATGCACGCCCATATTGTGCGTTAGATAATAATTTTTTTGTATCAGCGCCTAAAGAAGGTGTGTAAAAAACATGCCTACAGAAGATGCTAAAAGTAATTTTTAAAAAGGGGTTAAGAAAATAATTTAAAAAAATCCACGGGAGGTTTTTAAAAATTCACTTCTGTAGGTGTTGGAAATATGTTTTAAAATTTAGAAAATAACTTCAAAAAAGTATCATCTATATGTCTTAAAAATAATTTTTAAATAATCCACACATATAAAGGTATAAGAAATGTTCTTTATAAATGCTATACCTATAGAAGGTCTTATCAAATATATTTTATTTATAAAAACAACAAACTGGGATTCAGCCTGACTATTTTGCAAATACAAAATAAAAAGAGCCACTCTTAAAAAAAAACTAAGCCTATAGAAGGTCTGGAAAATGTTTCTTATTAATTGGAATCAACTTAGCAATATGGGTTAAAATTTGTCAAAAATAAATAAAATTTCAGTACCTCCAACAAAAAATTCCAATATTTTTCTATTTTTGGACTCCATATATCATTTGTGTTATATATATATATATATATATATATATTCGAAGATTGCATGCCAATATTTCTTTTTTGTTTATTCAACTTTATTTTACTAAAAATGCTATTTACTCTCGCCGATAGTTAATAGTTTTTTCCTTAAAAACTCTTTTGTATATTTTGTAATGTAAATCACACAACAATTGGAAATTTTATTGAGGCAACATTGAAATAATCATCATTTCACACATACATGTTAATAGTCTCACTTTAAAATAATTATTTAGAGTGTAACACGTACCGCCACTTTCAAACTTATTTACCTAAAATTTCACTAACTTAAAAAAAGATTAGAGATAAATTTGTATGTGACCTGGCCTGAATCAGATTGCAAAATTGTGACGCATGACTGCTAACAATTATGCTTAAGACCACAATTTCTAACCTAATTTTTATAGGAGTTTTTTAAATCATCCAGAGAACAAATTCTCAAAATAGATAAAATATTTTTTTTAATTAATCATATATCCAAAAAATGACTCAAATTACATTAAATATTTTCTCTGTTCCAGAACCTGTACAAATCTTCTATTAATTCAAAATGTTTTTGATTTTTTATTATAAGTTTGCAAAGTTTTGTCACTTTTTGAGTAGGAGACCAATAATAAATTTAATGTTTTTATAATTTTATGGATTAGTGTCCTATTATTTATAATAATTTTCTTATTTTTAACATTGTTGCTAATTGAAAGTCCATAATATCAATTAACATTTAAGAAGCCATCAAATTTATTACGATTTTAATATGCATGTAAAGTTCATACGACCAGAAGCTATTTTTTTAAATTAATTTTATTTTCGTTTTGAATCTTCTTCCACACTTTTGAAACAAATACTGTAATTATTTCGAGTGATTTACAATTGGAATTAAAATTATCATGCCCATGTATCATAATATTTATATCACATTACATTTCGTGAGCATTCTCTTTTTTTTGCAATCTCACATTAGAATTGTATAAGAGACAATAATAAATGTTAGAGTGGAACGATATTTTTGTAAAGTAAAATTCAAGTAAAATGTTAAGTATTATTTTTTATAACTTATAAAAGATACTTATTTTCAATATTGTCCCCTGTCTAATTTAGGTTATTTTGGAATTAAAACTATTTTAAAGCTTGTACACCATTTCTCGTCCCCTCTTAATGTTAATTTACAAATAATGAAATGTAAAGATTTAATGATAGTTATTTATCAAATCTTTAATTGTTTGTTTTTTTCTTTCTCAACTTCTAAAAAAAAACTAAAAACAAATTCCCTCTCTTTCAAGGTACTATCATGCGAAATGAAATTATTTATCAGGCATGTACAGCTGTATTCGAATATAACGAAACCGATTGTCAACTGTTGGGTACGAAAAATGTTAGCGGCTATTTACAAGTAAATAAAACCACATTTACATGAATTGTATATGTACATGAATTAGTTGTTTAATAAACAATTTTGTTTTTGTTTATGTGATTTTAATTTCATTTTAGGAAATTGAAACGGAGGTCCAGCCATACGTGGCAAATTTGTTCATGATACGAACGCTATTGGAGAGTATTGTACCGGCATTTTGCGGCGTCTTCATTGGCTCGTGGTCAGATCATTACGGTCGTAAACCCTTGTTGTTAATATCGATGATAGGTATGTATTTAGATATAGATGTTTATAGTTGCTATGTGAAAGGTGAATTTAATTTAAAGAATAGTTCTACCGGTTTCTAGTAGCTCAAATAACAGATTAAAGCATCTTAAACTTGAACAGCATTTTAAATTATTTGCAATTGAAAGACAAAATATCAAAGGAATTAAAAAAAATGAGTAATAATTTGATAGACAAAATAAATCACAGTCTCTCTCGAGGAGTTTTCAAAGACTAGCTATATGATAGACATATGTTAATACTGATGAAAGAAGATTCATTTTAGGACCTATATACATTAACTAAAGGTCTAATATTACTTATATCCCCTTTTGCAGGATTTTCTGGAACCTATATTATTGCCGCTGTTATACGTGAACTATCTCAACATTATATCGTCAATCCATGGTATTATGTTTTGGCTGTGGTACCACATTCCATACTGGGCGGTAATTGTGTATTTTCGGTGGCGGCATTCTGTTATATATCGGATGTTACCGATACCAAAACTAGACCCTATAGGTAAGTAATTTACTACCCATTATATGATTTTTTAATAAATTAACTTATGGATTTTTCTATGCCAACAGAATGATCATATTGGAAGCCTGTTTATCGATTGGTTTAATGGTTGGTTCTCTAATCTCAAGTCATGTTTATGAGGCTACAAATGCAACAATAACATTCTCAATATCTGCCATACTGATGTGTCTAACAACAGCCTATATTGCAATTTATGTACCGGAAAGTTTGAATAGTGAGGCGGTGGAATCAAAATCTTCAGCAGGAAATGATACAAAAGAAGTGGTGGCGGCGGCAGTTAAATGCAATGAAATACCAATGAACTGCAGCATAATAAGTGAAAATATAGCGAAAACATCAGATAATGATAAGAATGAAAAATCTACCAAAATTGAAGATAATTTCCATGATGTGGATTTAAATGGAAATGATGAGAGCAAATCAAAATCTCACAAAGACGATGAAAATTCTAAAAATATTAGCAAGGAAGAGAAACAAGAAAATGATTATAACAAAGCCAAATCTGCTGGTCTCTTCAGTTATATTCACATTAAGGAAATGTGGAATACATGCTTCAGGGAACGTCCCTATTATGATCGTTGTATTATTTTGTTGGTAACGGGTGCCATGTTTTTGGCCATTTTCGTTTTGGATGGTGCCATGACAGTATTTTATCTGTTTGTACGAGAAAAATTCCAATGGACTGTTAGAGATTTTACCTATTATGAGACAATAAGTCATGTTACCTCAATGTTTGGTGCACTGGTGGGATTTTTAATTTTACGAAAGGCAAGGATATTTATTTTTTAAATTAAAAATATAATAAATATTAATTTGATTATATTCATTAATATTAGAAAATATTGTTTTTGTTCGATAATACACTATTATACATAATTAGAATTATTTTCTTATTGGATTTTGCTCTCCAGTAAACACGAGCATAATAACATTATTAACTTGACAGATAATAACTTAATAATACTAGAAAATTTCGCAATACATAAACAATTTTTTTTCGAACATTCCTATTACTAATTTAAGAAAAATTTAAATTAATGTATTTATCTTCTTAATATTATGTTCTTGTAGGTCTTCCGCATGTCCGTGGTTACATTGGCTCTATTAGCATTTTTAAGTGATATTTTCCGCAGTGTCATACAAGGTATGGCATACGCTCCCTGGCATTTATATTTGGCAATAGCAGCAGGTTCTCTGAAGGCTGTTGGTGGACCCATGTGTCGCACAATTGTTTCAAATATTGTTCCGGCCACAGATTTGGGTATGTACAAAACACATGAAAACTAAAATTATCTGCAAATTCTGATTTGACATTTTATTTTTATATTGGTTAATAATCATTTAGTAAATTAAAATTACATCTTTTTTTCAAAATGTCTATAACAATAATTTAATTTTTTCATGAAAGCCATGCTTAATTTTGTTGAAATTTAGTTATTTTAATATTATTTTTATTCACAGGTAAAATATTTTCCATTAAAAACATCCTACAGTCGTTGGCGCCCTTTGTTGCTGCTCCCCTTTACACTGTGATCTATAAGGCTTCATTGACCACTTTCCCTGGTCTGTTTAATGTTGTCAGTGCGGCGTTATATTTTATTGCATTTTTATTTATATTGTAAGTATTAAATACACATTCAATATATTTAAAAAATATATATACTTATTTAATTGCTTTAATTTTTCTTTCAGAGTTGTATTCCGTTTTAAGGTAACCTATAAGGATCACTATGGCAAAATGTTAAAATAATAAATTAATGATTGTAAATATTGAAATTTGTTGTACATATATATTATTAGAATATTAAATTATATATCAATTGTTATTATATTTTAATAAATGTAATTAAAAATATTATTTATAAAAAAATCAAATGTTTTTGTATCCCTATTAAATTTGCCCGTTCAAAATTGAATTCTATTTCGATTTTTTATTTTCACCCGTCTGTCTGTTAAGGTCACAATATAAATCGCAATATTTAAATTAGAGTTTTAAAATATTTCCCACACACCTATGGGGCTGTAAAAAGATCCCTAACAATTAGGGTTGCCAGATTTCGATTCACAGATTGCTAGACATTGTGTTTTATAAAGCTGTAAAAAAACTGGGCATAAAACATACTGAGATGGATATTCAAAATACGCCATGGTTAATATTTGGTCGAAAGATTTGACACCAAATAAACAAACTTAAATATAAAATATAGGAAATTGATTTGAAAAACGTCGCCAAACTACCGAAATTTGAGAGTATATATGGGGTTTACCTCCAAATTTAGGTATATATTGATTGTTTTTGGTAGCACGATTTGCACAGCTAATTTGGTGAAAATGTCCTCAAACTCCTTAGAACACCGAAAATACAAGCAAGGAGTTATATGTGCAAAAATTCAAAACTCTATCTTAAATATTGCGAGCTCTACCGTGATTTCAAAAGACGGACATGGCTAAATCGACATAACATTTTAATCTGATCAAGAATATGGGGTCCCATGGAATATTTCGACGTGTTATAAACGAAATGACTCCACATCATGGCGGAGATTATATAAAAATGTGCATTCGGTGATGGCCAACACGATTTGTGAAAGATAACAAGCTCGGTGGAGGATTAAAAAAAATCGACGATGAAGATATATTTTTTTTTAATTCTCTCAGAAGCAAAAATACCCTTTTAATTAGCCACTGGAATTTATCATTTACTTCACTTTCAAAACATGCTATTTTTTCATAATAAAAACTCAATAACCTAAAATAAAAAAAATGCAAAAATATATTTACTAAAATTGTTTTATTGTTTCTTTTTAAAAATATTTAAAAAACTATGTATATATAAACATTCAATGTAAATTACACAAATTGCTATTTCTTTTTAATTGCATACTTAAAATATTCGGAAGACTCAAATGTTAATCATCACATATCAAAATGAGAACATTTGATATTTCATTTTTTCTATTATATAAAATTATTATCAAAAAACCCCAAACAATTGTCTATAAATAATAATATAAATTGATACATATAGTACATAACACATATATCGATATGTAAGAGGTAATTTATAACATTTGGTTTATATATACAGAAACTCAAAAGGTACTTTTGCAAACCAAAAATCAACAAAAAAAAAACTAATCACTGTCCATTATAAATACAAAATTGTTGCTAGCTATTTAAAAACAATATTAGATTTTAGTTTAGCTACTTATAGCCTGATAGGTAGCTGTGTGACCCAATGATTTTTGTATGCCAAATATAATTCTGAAAGAAAATATAAATATTAATAAAAAAGTGATTAAAATAAGTGGTTTAAATAACTTACGATATAAATGTAAAACATAACAAATATAAACCAGCGCTTATAAAGTTAAATAAGCCTGGATGATAGGCCAAGGTGGCATTGTATACAATTGTATATAAAGGTGCGGCAATGAGAGGCGATAATGATTCCAACGAAGTGGTTAAGGCAAATATTTTACCTAAAAAAAAACAAATTATGATCCAAATTAAAAAAATGTTATAGAGTAATAAAAAAACATTTTAAATACAATTATTTTAGATCAATTACTATTTTTTGATCGGATTTATTAGTTTTCTTTTTTACTTACCAACTTCAGTGGCTGGGGCAACATGAGATAGTATGGCTCTGGACATTGGTCCCATAATGCCACGCATTAAACCCAAGGTAAGACCCACATACAATTCCCACCAATATATTGCAGTGGCTCTAACCGTACTTTCCAACACACAACTTGCTATGGCAATCATGTTCATTGAGGTAATGGAAAATTTCAATAGCTAAAACAACAACAATATTGACAATTAATGAAAAAATCCTTAAAAAATTATAAATTAACATCTTACCCTCCTCAATACAAACATGCCCAAAACACTGCCAATAATTTGCACCACAATACGAGCAGCATTAAACATACTAAAATCCTTCAAAGTCCATTCGAATTGTTTGCGTACATACAAATATGTAACATTCGAATCACCTTCCATTGTAAAAATGGCTATTGTCAGTGCCATCATTGTTAACCAAATAATGGAACGATCGTAGTTGGGACGTCGTTTAAGGCAAGTCCTCACCAAATCCTTAACCAAATCGAAACGGAAAAATTCCCTAATTTTGGACTAAAGATGAAATACAAATATAAAAACTGTGAAATTAAATGAATAATAATGAAGTAGTATTTGCTTACCCCAGAATGTATTTGATCAGGTCGTAGACTTTCAATTACAAATATTGCAACATAAATTAAAGCCAATAGCATTAGACCTGATGATATGGCAAATACAGTTACAGTATTTGTGGCAGCATATAAATAACCACTAACAACATTGCCGATCATCATGCCTGTGCACAGAGCGGCTTCATTTAATACCATTCTAGAAATTATTTACAAAACACATAAACACAGAATTATTAAACAGTTATATAAATTTTTTTTAATAAATTAAACTTACCTTAAAGCTCTTGCCTTTTCTTTGGCCACATCCGATATATAACAATAAATTCCGGTGATTAAGGCACATGTTCCACCACTCAATACCGAGGGCACTGAACTCAACAGAAATACCCAAGGACTTATAACAGTTTTGGTGGCAATAAAACTTAGAATTGTTAATATTATGGAACCAGTGAGATAACCTTGAATATAATGAAAAAAATATATATATATAGTAATCCAACAATTTTTTTTTAATTTCCAAACACACCTGTAAATGTGGTTAAAACAATTGGCCTGCGACCAAATTTATCCGACCAGGGACCAATAAATAAACTAACAATTGCTGGTATTATACTTTCCAGCAGGGAACGGGCCATTAATATTCTAGCAACATAGGGTTGGACCTGGGTTTCTATGTGCTTTAAATAAACAGAAAATAAAAAAAAAATAATTAAAATATATTTAAATCTATTGTCTAGATAAAGTATTTTGTGTTTTTATTTACTTTTGTATTATTTAACAATTAGAGATAAACAACCCTTTTTATTGCAATTATTTTTTTGTTAAATGTTATTGATAAAATTGGCTTAACGCAGTATGATTCATACCATTCGATTTGTCAATTAAATGTTTATAGTGACAATAAATAAATAAAACATAAATTTCACATTGAACATAACACAACATAATTTTACTAGTTAATTGATTTGTTTATATATTTGTATTTTGCGTGACATTGCATTTTGAGAATTTGTAATAAAACTAGGCTCATTTTTTATAATTAATTTATTCAACAAAAAGAGATAAGAATATAGAACTAGTTATGATAACAACAACAATAGTAAACATGAATAATAGAAAACATCAAGTGTACGCCCCAGATTTCCTATTCGCATTCTATGTCAGAATGTAAATCTAAGAATGAGACTTTAAAACAATGGAAATATGGAAAAGAAGCAGTGACAATAAAATGCACATTTAATTGCAATAATAAACAAAGAAAACTAATTAATTATAGCTGTGAAAAAAAAATTATGAGTATTATCAAAGTATATTAATAGGAAAAGCATGATTTAATTTTTTATTGGATTTTCAATTGACAATAATTCTATTATATTTTCAACCTTGAATTTAACTATTAAACTGAAAAAGGGATGACAGTGTCATCATAAAAGTTTTTTATTTTAGATGCAAATTGTTTAGGAATTCGTCAAAAATATTCAAAATAAAAACGAATACACTTTCAAAACAAATTTATCGCTATTTTTTCTGTGTCATTATCCACAAATAGAAACGTTAACTACCAAAATGTTTGCTAGATGTTAAATAACAAAATCGAAACAATTATATAGCTATTTGTTATACAAAAAATTTCCACTACATTGAATGTCGAGTGAATTGCTAAAATTGAATTTCGACGAGTTTTTATGTTCATGGAAGCTGGGATCGATGCTGTTGATCTAAGGTCTTGAATGGTTTTTCTGAGGTCATAGGCTTGGATTTTTCAAAAAAAAAGGGCTATTTGAGACTTTTCTAAGTCCTTCCAAGTTTTTTTTAATTTGTTTTAAGGCAAATCAGAGGTTTGTATTTTTTAGAAATCCTTTGCTATGGTTTATTTTGTATTTTTTAAAATTCTTTCTAAATCCAATTATAAGACATATTTGAGACGCGAATTTTCTTATACCTATCATAGTCCTGTATCAGATTTTGATATAACTGTAAAAATGTATATCACATCCTATGATATACAGCCAATAATATTCTGTATATCATATTTATCCCTCCACATACCACTGTCGGCATGTTTGAATAACCTAATTTGCCATTAATTTTGAGTTGCGTTTAATTGTTGCTTTTTCATTTGGAACAACTCTAGTTTAGTAAAAACGATCAAATTTTTCTGAAATTTTTTCCAGAGGTAGGTATTTTTACCCTAATTATGGGGATATCTTTTTTTCTTGGGGGACGTACCCGGTTACCCGGTTATTTGACCCGGAAGTTCGGGTACGGGTACCCGGTTATATCCGGTTCTACGGATCCGGTTAATATAATATGGGTATCATTTTAAAGGTTATAAAAATACCTTTCCATTGAGTGGTAATATGATGGGGTTATCTCAAACCATTTTGGGGATATAGTCAAAAAACTGGGTTTTGGTCCCCGATTTTTTTGAAAAACTCCCTAAAAGTCGAACTTGGGTCCATTATAGTCCCTCTCCAAACAGGACCCAAATGATAGACCACAATTTGCCCTTTCCAAAATGGTGCGATATGTGGCTGTATCTGTTGTGGATCAAAAGATATGGGCCTTAGAACCCTATAAAACAAGGAAAATCTTTCTACATGACAGAATCTCCTTTTAAATAGCATGGTGTTTTTTGGGTGACCGGCCTTCGGCCGGGGATTTAAGACTTTCTCCTATGGACAGATGCCAACACCGGCTAACGCGGCAGAAACTCCTTCTAAATAGAATATTTTTTTGTGTAGCCGGCCTTCGGCCGGGTATTTAAGACTTTCTCCTATGGACAGATACCAACACCGGCTACGCGACAGAATCTCTTGTTAAATGGAATACTTTTTTGGGTGACCGGCCTTCGGCCGGGGATTTAAGACTTTCTCCTATGGACAGATGCCAACACCGGCTAACGCGGCAGAAAATCCTTCTAAATAGAATATTTTTTGTGTAGCCGGCCTTCGGCCGGGGATTTAAGACTTTCTCCTATGGACAGATACCAACACCGGCTACGCGACAGAATTTCCTTGTTTTTGTAGGGTTCTAAGGCCCATTTCTTTTGATCCACAACAGATACAGCCACATATCGCACCATTTTGGAAAGGGCAAATTGTGGTCTATTATTTGAGTTTGGGTTAGAGAGGTACTATAATGGGCCCAAGTTCGACTTTTAGGGAGTTTTTCAAAAAAATCGGGGACCAAAACCCAGTTTTTTGACTATATCTCCAAAATGGTTTGAGATAACCCCATCATATTACCACTCAATGGAAAGGTATTTTTATAACCTTTAAAATGATACCCATATTATATTAACCGGATCCGTAGAACCGGATATAACAGGGTACCCGTACCCGAACTTCCGGGTCAAATAACCGGGTAACCGGGTACGTCCCCCAAGAAAAAAAGATATCCCCATAATTAGGGTAAAAATACCTACCTCTGAAAAAATTTTCAGAAAAATCTGATCGTTTTTACTAAACTAGAGTTAAGCCAACCGCAACAAATTTGCATTATTATCATTTAATGCGGTTGCAGGAAATGGTACGATAAACACCCTTTAATATTTTTTACAAGTGGCATGTAACTACTTGACACTCTGTAATGTCTATCTATTAAAAGATAAATGTATGCAAACACATTTGTGGTATATTATATATATTTTTATTTTCAAAACTTACTTGGACCTCTTCGGTTTCGCGTTCAACGCCTAACAATGGTGCACATTGGGTTTCATTGTACTCGAAAACGTAAATGCAGGTTTGATATAGTAATTGATTTTGATAAACAGTTCCTACAAAACAAATGATAATGGATCGTGACGAAATTCGAAATTAAAAAAAAATTAACTTTGTTCTTACCAGATAAATACATTGCTAGAAATACTAAAAATACTGCTGGTTCCAATATAAAAAATCGATGTTTAATCACCGGTTGGCCCTCAACAGATGGAGGCAGTGTTGAATTGGAATTATTGTCATCATTTTCGCCTGGAATCGATTCGGTGGTCGTTGAAGTTGCATCTCTATTTTGGGCAATTTCATTGTCCAATGAGGCTTCTTCATCATTGGGATCGTATAATCTTTCTTCGTCGTTATGCATTTTGATGTGAACTCTCTTTACTTTGAAAACAATTTAGAATCTAGCACACATACATTTGCCTGTTTTTTTATCTTTAAACAAAGAACTTGTTTTGTTTTGGATTTTATTCATTTACGTTTTTGTAGTTCGTCGTTATTTCATTGTACAAAACTTTAATTGTTCATATGCAATAAAAGTATATATTAACGCATTGTGATAATTAAAACGTAGCCTCTCTGTTTATCGAAATTTAATCAAAAATTCGTTTTCAAAATATTCCGTTTTTATCAACTAAAATAAAAATTAACTAAATTCCGTTGGGTTTAGTTAGACATGACTTGCTTTGATCGTTTATGACAATTGACACGATCTTCTTCTCTCACTGATCACTTTCTCTTTGACTTTTACACTAAACACATAACTATTATAACAATAAACCAGAAAGAGGAATTATTTGTTTATTAACACTTTACAAATTTAGCATATTTAACTTATTTCAATGAATCACGGCACACTACTGTTCTCCCATCTCATTATTTTTGTTATTAAGTGTGTTATTTGTGACTGTTTGTTTTCTTTTTTGAGAAGTTATCAATTGTGTCATTCTTGCTCAACGAAATGGTTCAAATGAACTATCCAAAAAATGGGATGAACGGAACTACATACATTTCGTTAGTTTTCTTATATTTATTATTCGTTGATTCTTTTTTGAAATAAATGTCAATATTTAATAAAATATCATCATGTTTCTGTATAATCCGATTTATATGATTAAAAAATATAATAATAATAATAGAATAAGAACACATTAGGCCGAGTGGTAATCCTTGCCTTGTGATTACCAAATTTAGTACTCGCGAGTAATCACTTTGTCAATGAAATGCAATCAGTCGTTAGTTGGCAGCATTGTTTGCTCCCCTTCAAATTGGAATTTCGCGTCATTTTTGTTAGAAATTGTGTTTCGTTTTTTGTTTTGATATTAATGTATAGAAATACATGTGTAATGTTCCTTAAAATGTTTAAAACTAAAGATTAAATGTGTCTGAAGAATTATTTGTATGCAATTCGTGTGTTTCTTTTGTCTTTACAAAGGTTTTTGCCTATCATGTTTGGTGTTGTTGTGTGTGTATGTGTACGGTACTTTGTTGTTGTTGGGGAAAACGATTCTTGCTCAATTTTGATCCGAAATCCTAATACAAGAGTATTTTTGTTGCTGATTGATTTTGTGCCAAAAATGAAATTTTTTCTAGACAAAAATTTATTATGCGCGAATGACGTTGCTGATGCCCTGGACAATTGTTAACTTCGATAAAAGAGGTAAGTCTGTTTTTGCTTCATTAAATTTGAAATATTTAATAACGTTTTATGAAATTTCTTTGCAGCTAACGGAAACCCGTTTCTGTTTTCAGTGGTAAGTTGATTTTGATTTTTTTTGCTTCAATATCAATCCATCAACGACACATGTGATCAAAATTTAGCATATATACCACAGCAAAAGTGTTTTGATGAATTCTAAAAAGGTTTTGATTTTTTTATATTTTTACTATAAATTTAATTCCAACATGCAATCGGTGAAATTAATTAATTTTTAATTAATTTTGCCATAGCATAAATATCAATTTCGATTTTTTACAATAATAGACACAAATTGGTTTTTATTGTAGTCAGCAAACAAAGAAAAAATCGTTAATGTGGGATCTTTGTTAAATTGGACAAAGCCAAGTACAGTATTTTTCGGTTAATTGAACCTACGGTTAATTGGTTTCCACGCTTAATTGAACCTCATGATGGGTCAAAAATATTTCATTTCATTGTAAGCGGGTTCGGATAATTGGTTCCTCGGTTAATTGAACAAAAATTTGTGCAAATTTTGATGTGCAATTAACCGAAAAATACTGTATTTTTTAATCGAAACGTGTAGAATATAATTTTTTTGTATATTTATCTCAACT